ATGCAATAAAAAAAAATAAAAATAAAAATAAAAGAATTGATTTAGCTATGCAAGCTCTCTTTTGGTTCCATATGAAGTTCATGATGAATTTTTTCAGTTCTGTAAAGAAAGTCAGTGGTGGCTTGATGGGGATAGCGTTGATTCTGTAAATTACTTTGGGCAGTATAGCCATTTTCATGATATTGATTCTTCCTAACCATGAACATGGAATGTTTCTTCATCTGTTTGTGTCCTCTCTTATTTCATTGAGCAGTGGTTTGTAGTTTTCCTTGAAGAGGACCCTTACGTTCTTTGTAAATTGTATTCCTAGGTATTTTATTCTCTTTGTAGCAATTGTGAATGGCAGTTCATTCTTGATTTGGCTTTCATTAAGTCTGTTGTTACAGACTTAAATGGTAATGTTACTATCATTCTGGTATAGGAATGCTTGTCATTTGTGCACATTGACTTTATATCCTGAGACTTTGCTGAAGTTGCTTATCAGTTTCAGGAGTTTTGGGGCTGAGACGATGGAGTCTTCTAGATATACTATCATGTTATCTGCAAATAGAGACAAATGGGCTTCCTCCTTTCCTATTAGAATACCCTCTATTTCTTTTTCTTGCCTGATTGCTCTGGCTAGAACTTCCAGTAGTATATTGAATAGGAGTGGTGAAAGAGGGCATCCTTGTCTAGTGCTGAATTTCAAAGGGAATGCTTCCAGTTTTTGCCCATTCAGTATGATATTGGCTGTTGGTTTGTCATAAATAGCTTTTATTACTTTGAGATACGTTCCATCAATACCGAGTTAATTGAGGGTTTTTAGCATAAAGAGCTGTTGAATTTTGTCAAATGCCTTCTCTGCATCAACTGAGATAATTATGTGGTTTTTGTGTTTGGTTCTGTTTATGTGGTGAATTACGTTTATAGACTTGTGTATGTTGAACCAGCCTTGCATCCCCGGGATGAATCCTACTTGATCATGATGAGTAAGTTTTTTGATTTGCTGTTGCAATCAGTTTTCCAGTATTTTATTGAAGATTTTTGCCTCTATGTTCATCATGGATATTGGCCTGAAGTTTTCTTTTTTTGTTGAGTCTCTGCCGGGTTCTGGTATCAGGATGATGTTGGTCTCATAAAACGATTTGGGAAGGATTCCCTCTTTTTGGATTATTTGGAATAGTTTTAGAAGGAATAGTACCAGCTCCTCTTTGTGTGTCTGGTGGAATTCAGCTGTGAACCCATCTGGACCTGGGCTTTTTTTGTGTGGTAGGTTCTTAATTTCTGCCTCAACTTCAGATCTTTTTATCGGTCTATTCATAGTTTCGGCTTCCTCCTGGTTTAGACTTGGGAGGACACAGATGTCCAGGAATTTATCCATTTCTTCCAGGTTTACTAGTTTATGTGCATAGAGTTGTTTGTAGTATTCTCTGATGATGGTTTGAATTTCTGTGGAATCTGTGGTGATTTTCCCTTTATCGTTTTTTATTGCATCTATTTGGTTGTTCTCTCTTTTCTTTTTTATCAGTCTGGCTACTGGTCTGTCTATTTTGTTGATCTTTTCAACAAAACCAGCTCTTGGATTTATTGATTTTTTGAAGGGTTTTTCATGTCTCTATCTCCTTCAATTCTGCTCTGATCTTAGTTATTTTTTTTCTTCTGCTAGCTTTTGAGTTTTTTTTATCTTTCTCCTCTAGCTCTTTCAATTTTGACGATAGGGTGTCAATTTTGGATCTCTCCACTCTTCTCATGTGGGCACTTATTGCTATATATTTTCCTCTAGAGACTGCTTTAAATGTGTTCCAGAGATTCTGGCATGTTGTGTCTTCATTCTCATTGGTTTCGAAGAACTTCTTTATTTCTGCCTTCATTTCATTGTTTATCCAATCAACATTCAAGAGCCAGTTGTTCAGTTTCCATGACGCTGTGCGGTTCTGAGTTAGTTTCTGAATTCTGAGTTCTAACTTGATTGCACTATGGTCTGAGAAACTGTTATGATTTCAGTTGTTTTGCATTTGCTGAGGAGTTCCTTACTTCCCATTATGTGGTCAATTTTTGAGTAGGTGTGATGTGAAGAATGTATATTCTGTTGTTTTGGGGTGGAGGGTTCTGTAAATGTCTATCAGGTTGCTTGTTCCAGGTCTGAGTTCAAGCCCTGGATATCCTTGTTAATTTTCTGTCTGGTTGATCTGTCTAATATTGACAGGGGAGTGTTAAAGTCTCCCACTATTATTGTGTGGGAGTCTTGGTCTCTTTGTAAGTTGTTAAGAACTTGCCTTAGATATCTGGGTGCTCCTGTATTGGGTCCATATATATTTAGGATTGTTAGCTCTTCTTGTTGTATCAATTTTTTTACCATTATGTAATGTCCTTCTTTGTCTCTTTTGATCTTTGTTGCTTTCAAGTCTATTTTATCAGAGACAAGAATTGCAACTCCTGCTTTTTTTTTGCTCTCCATTTGCTTGGTAAATCTTCCTCCATTCTTTTATTTTGAGGCTTTGTGTATCCTTGCATGTGAGATGGGTTTTCTGGATACAGCACATCGATGGGTTTTGGATTTTTATCCATTTTGCCAGTCTGTGTCTTTTGATTGCTGCATTTAGCCCATTTACATTTAGGTTTAATATTGTTATGTGTGAATTTGATACTGCCATTTTGATGCTAGCTGGCTGTTTTGCCCATTAGTTGATGCAGATTCTTCTTTTTGTTGATGCTCTTTAGCATTTGGTATGTTTTTAGAATGGCTGGTACTGGTTGTTCCTTTCTATGTATAGTGCCTCTTTCAGGAGCTGTTGTAAAGCAGACCTAAGTGTGACAAAATCTCTGAGTACTTGCTTGTTTGCAAAGGATTTTATTTTTCCTTCACTTATGAAGCTCAGTTTGGCTGGATATGAAATTCTGGGTTGAAAATTCTTTACTTTAAGGATGATGAATATTGGCCCCCACTCTCTTCTGGCTTGTAGAGTTTCTGCCAAGAGATTTGCTTTGAGTCTGATGGGCTTTTCTTTGTGGGTGACCTGACCTTTCTCTCTGGCTGCCCTTAGTATTTTCTCCTTCATTTCAACCCTGGTGAATCTGAAGATTATGTGCCTTGGGGTTGCTCTTTTTGCAGAGTATCTTTGTGGTGTTCTCTGTATTTCCTGGACTTTAATATTGGCCTGCCTTCCTAGGTTGGGGAAATTTTTTTGGATAATATCCTGAAGAGTATTTTCCAGCTTGGATTCATTCTCTTTGTCACATTCTGATACACCTATCAAATGTACGTTAGGTCTCTTCACATAATTCCACATGTCTTGGAGACTTTGCTCATTCCTTATTGTGCTTTTTTCTCTAATCTTGGTTTCTCGTTTTATTTCATTGAGTTGATCTTTGACTTCTGATATTCTTTTTTCTGCTTGGTCAATTCGGCTGTTGAAGCTTGTGCATGCTTCGCGATGTTCTCATGTTGTGTTTTTCAGCTCCTTCAATTCATTCATATTCCTCTCTAAGTTGTCCATTCTTGTCATCATTTCCTCGAATCTTTTTTCAAATCTTTTTTTAAGGTTCTTAATTTCTTTGCATTGATTTAGAACATGTTCTTTTAGCTCACCGAAGTTTCTCATTATCCATTTTCTGAAGGCTGATTCATCATTTTGTCACACTTATTCTCCATCCAGCTTTGTTCCCTTGGTGGTGAGGAGTTTTGGTTTTTTGTAGGAGGCGAGGTGTTTTGGTTTTGGGTGTTTTCCTCCTTTTTGCGCTGGTTTCTTTCCATCTTTGTGGATTTATCCACCTGTTGTCTGAGTCGTTGCTGGCTTTTTGATTGTGTCTCTGAGTGTATGCCCAGATTGTTGATGCTGAAGTATTTCTGTTACTTAGTTTTTCTTCTAACAGTCTAGCCCCTCTGCTGTATGACTGCTGAGGTCCACTCCAGTCCATGCTGCTGTGGGCTCCGCCCTGCTTCTGTGGGCTTTGCCCTGCTGCTGTGGACTCTGCCCTGCCATCCTGGGCTCCGCCCTGTTGCCCATATATGCTGCCTTGCTGTTGTGGGCTCTGCCTTGTTGGTGGAGTCTCTCTGTTTTGGTGGGTTGCCTTGGCAATGACAGGCTGCATCTGCAATGGGTGTGTACCTAAGTAGGGGCAGAATTACTCGGTAGTGGTGGACGCCCCTCCCCCATGGAGCTGCACCATCCTGGATTCAGATGTGCCCACAGTGATACTCTCAACCCTGAGCATTTCCAATTGCCGTTTTGTTTGTCCCTGTGGGGGTGGGACCTGCCGAGCCTGATCACCTGGCTCCCTGCCTCAGAGCCCTTTCTCCCTCTAATTTTTTTTTTTAAGTTGAACAGTTGACTCTCTCCCAGGTGTTTTAGTCACCTGCTGGTAGGGCACCAGGATCTGTGTGATTTCCCCTGCAGGGGCCCACTGCACCGGCTCAACTGTCGCTTCCCGGGAATTTCCTTGTCTGGCTCACTGTTCAAGTCCCATTTAATCAGATGGATATGCTAATCTGCCCTCCCAAATCTCAGATTGCTGGTTTAACAGGGCACTCAGATCAGCACATTTTGTGCGGGGTGCTGCTGTGCCAGCCGAAACGGCCTGCGCTAGCCAGGAGGGCTGTTCTGGCTTCCCATGTCTTTCCTACACCTGGGAATTTTCCCGTTCTGTGGGCAACAAAAATTTGTCTGGAAATGCAGCTAGGACTCACCCTCCGCACCTTCACTGAGAGCTGCAATCCCGAGTTGTTCCTACCGCGCCATCTTGGAAAACTCTCATCTCATTTTTTAAAATGAATTTTTAGAGCAGTTTGAAGTTTGCAGAAAAATTGAACAGAAAATATAGAGTTCTCATATGCCCTTTTCTGGTCCCACCCACACACAGTTTTCCCTATTATTAACATCTGGCATTAGTGTGGTATATCTGTTACAATTGATGAACCAATACTGATACATTATTAACTAAAACATAGTTCACATTACGTATGCTATGAGTTTTTTTTAATAGAAAAACTATCTGATTTTATTATCAATGCCAAACAAGTCTTTAAATCAACTAAAATTTATTTAATTCAGCATAAGGTAACTTTCACATTTTTCTACAACCACAGTAAATACAGTTTTTGTCATAAAGACACAGCCTTTAGAATTCAAAGCTTCCCCACCTGCAAGATTACATATATAAAACTCCCATGGTTGTTTATATAATGGTGGATTAATCAAATTAAAATAGTTATACTATCTAGAATAAAATAAAATGGAAATAATTTACTCATAAGATTCATACTTAAATCATCTTTCTTTATAAAGTACTAGCCTGGAATTATAATGCCATTAAGCTTCCATTTTAACAAAGGTATAAGTAAATAAAAGTAACAGTTACACAGTAATAGCAGTTACTTTAAGTTAAAAATAATGTCAGTCAAAATCACTTTTGAACAGAGCAAAAAATACTGTGAAGTTTCTTGCTGTGCTTCTGTATGTTCAGTTGCAGTCTCATTTGAAGGTGGAATCAGCCCTGAAGGACTCACTTCTGGAGTAGAGGTGGGAGGAAAACTCCAGGTCTTGGGGAAGGTGAAAAGGAAAACTCCTCGGTGGATACACATTTCTCACTGTTCAAAGAGATTGGCAAAAGATATTTTATAACTTTGAGAACCTGTACTGTGCCCTAATAAATCATTAAGTTTATAACTTCCATTACCTATTATTTTAAAATTGACACCAGAATAATTACTTGATTTAACAAACTAATTTTTACAACATTGAGAAATATGTATCATTAATTTTTAATGTAATTTTTCTCCTATCTTAACACCTCCTTTAAAAAAATAGGAATTATTTTAAAATATATAAAAATTACCAGAAAAATAATATTTTTTCTTTCATTATCAGAGTCCTTCTCAAGGAACATTTTCATTCAATATAATTTTCACCAAACTTAAAATTCCTATCAGTGATCCTAATTCTGATTGTATACTACACTAAAATATTTCCAGTTATATCAGGGACCACCTTAAAATTCCTCCAAAGAAAATTTATTTTAATTCACTTTACACTTTAAAAAGAGAGGAGAAACAAGGAAAGGAATGACTAGATCAGACATTCATAGGCAAAGACTAGTATTTGGTAACCACACATTTATTCTACAGAACCCTATAGTTCAAAATGGTAAAGTATGATATAAAAGCAATGTATTACTCCTTTTTCTTATGTGAAGCTTTAAAAGAATTCAATAAACAATTAGGTCAAACATAATAAATGCATTTTAAGTTTTAAATAAGTAGGACTACATCAGAACTACTTATGAAAAAGACTTTAAAAAATATCATAGCCCATAATTTTAATGCTGGAATATAAATTTTAATTATTTTAACTAACTGCCAGAATAACAAATTGCTACCAAATAAGATACAAATAATTTTAGTTTTATAAGACCTGCAAAAAGTCAATTATTTTCTTGACTACCAAAATACAGAAATAATTCTATATTATTAAGATGAATCAATCTGAAACCTCATTACATTCTACATATGGCTGCCTGCCTTCCCAATTCAGGAAAGTAATGGTACACTCACAGAATACTTTCCTCATATGTGTTACTACATGAACAGATAGCAAAATTGATATCTCTGATTAATAAAACATTGAGCTTTGAAAAAAAATTAAAAACCAAGCATACTTGCAAATGGAGCATGTGGTGGACCTGGGAAATCCCTTAGTGGAAAATCATCTCCCTTTTTTCCACAGAAGCTCCCTTTTCCCACAGAGGTGACAGGGGCCCAGTGTCAGAAGGACCCCCTGTGAGAATTATTTAACATATCAGAGCTTGATTTTCCTCTTTCATTGGTAATCTGATGGTCCAGTGGATTCCCTGGGCCTCTTGAGCCTCTTCCTCCTCTCCTTGTCAGCAAAGGTGAAAATCTGTGTGGACCTTCCAATGAAGTTGGAGGAGACAGAAAAGCTCTCATTTCAGATGAAGGCCGACCCAATAGGGAGGGGCCATATGAAGAAGGTTCTCTGCCAAATGGTGTATTTGAAACCTCCAGTGCATACGTATATTTTTCTAAAAGTTCAAATTTAAACTCTAGTTCAGTTAATTTTTGTCTATTATGAGCATTTTCTTTCCTTAAATTATGCAGATGTCTTTCAACAGTTTGAGCTGCAAACCAATTATCATGCACTTTGTTCACATAGGAAATAGTGCGCTTTTGATGATGCATTGTTCTCTCCAATTCTTCTTCAAGAGATTTAGCTCACTTTCTATAGGTCTCCAGCATTGCGGTAGCATGGCTGATCCTTTTGTCTACCTTAGAAAGTTTCTCTTCTCTCTCTAAAGGGCAATTTTCCTCTGTTGTTAATTTCCTGTAGAGTTTCCTTTCATTTTCTTGATATAATTCAGTCATTACTTGAAGTTTCTGTTGAAGCTTCTGATTCTCACTTTCATACTGTGTGTATTATGACTGCAGAGATGCAAGTTCAGTCTCAAGATTTTTAATACACTCTGTAAGCTCTTCCTTTATTTTATCAACTTCAGATAACTAAACATTAATTTGGGATTTTTCTCCTTCTAAGCTTTTGAAAGAAGCATTGAACTTAGCAGCATGAATCAGTTTCTTCAAAGCTTCTTTCGGAGGATGATCTAAGTACACACCATTTTCTGATTCACTGCTCATTTATGACTCCAAGTTACCTTCATCCATTCTGTCTTCTCCAAGCATAGCTGCCCAATCTTTCATCTTCAGCAAGTGTTCAGTCAGAGTCTTGATGTGATTGTCTTCAGCACTGAGAACTTGTTCTGCGTGTACTTTGGAGTCTTCCAATGTTATTTTCTGTTTATTAAGTTCACTCACTTGTTCTTTCCGTACTTCAGCTTCTTGCAAAAGCTGTTTCTGGCTTTCCTGAAGTGGAGAATTTTCATCCAAAGCATCTTTTATTTCTATCTTCAGTGGTTCTTGATTCATTGGAAATAAAGTCTTGAAGGTCATTTTGGCTTCAGCGACTTATGATTTGAGGGATTTTGACTCATCTTCTAGAGACTGTATCCTTTTTGAAATATCTGCCATCAGTTCATTTTGTTCAGACTGTTTTGATTTCTCTTCTTTTAACTCTTTTATTAGACACAGTATTTCTTCCACAAGTTCCGCATTGGACCTGTTCGGCTTTGCACAGGTTGCCTCCAAGCTTTGTGCTTCTGTTGCCTCCTTCTCAAAGCTGGTATATTGACTCTACTTCATGGTCTTCATACTCCTTTTGAATAATGCTCAGTTTTTCAAATAGTTGACATTTTCCCTCAATTAGTCTAGACAGTTTTTCAGCAAGCTTTTTCTCTCGTCCCGCATAACGCCAACTCCTAACTGATCTAAAACCTCTCCACAAAAAAAAGAAAACAGCAAAAAATCCAAACATAGCTACGCATATCACCCATTCCCATGGAAAACCATAAGAATTAGAATCTGCTCCCATACTTTGATGCAGTGCTGCTACAACCCGGCATAGCACCTCCAGAACCAGCCTCAAGTATGGCTCAGGGGTAGCCTGGGGCTCCTCCATAGTGCCAAGGCTGCTCTGGTGGTCGCCGCAGTAACCGGGGCCTGTGGGGGCCACAACAAAGGGCAGGGAACCAGCAGCCTTTTGTCTGGAACCTGAATCCACAGGGGGCAACCAAAGTGGACCACTGCAGAGCAGGCTGCGGGGGAAGCTGGGAAACACTGGGGAGTTGGAAGATGCCGGGGGAGCTGGGGATGCTGGCACCCACAGGCCTCACAGGCCCATGCTGCCTTTTTCTCTTTTATTTTTACTTTATTTTCAGATTGGGGTCTTGTCATGTTGTCCAGGCTGGTCTTGAACTCCTAGCCTCCAGCGATCATCCCACCTTATTCATCTAATCTTGGCATTTCAATTTCCACACTCCCCCCCACACTAGAATAATTTTGCAGTTTCAAAATCCTGTTCATTCTTTTTTGACTAAGCCTTTGTCAATATCATAACTGAAAAGGTTCTTCCACCTTTAATTATCCTTACTACTTGTATAACACTGAATTACATAGTCTCACACATAAATTATGCAAAACACAATTTTGCTGGCATGTTTCTCATCTGAATTATTTATACCTTTGAGCTAAGACCTGTCTTACTCATCTTTGTATGTCCACATTACTAGAATGCAAGTAACAAGACACAACACTTATGATACTTACAGGGTTTTTTTTCTTAGAAAAATGTCTCAAGTCATAGATATATATTTTTAAAATAAACGTTGAGATTTCCTTTTAAAGAGCCTTTAGACAGTTTTTTTAAAAGTCTGTAGCTGCTCATCTGATTCCTCATTTCAGGGCTTCAATAAATAAGATAATACCCAATAAATAAATAAATAATACCCAATAAGACCTTCAGGTCCATATTTGCTGTGAGTTGCTAAGGGTAGGAGCATATATGAAGTAGAAGGCTACAGCTGGAAAAAGTCTGGCAGGCAGGATATGATTTATTCTACATTTGCCACCAAGTAGCTAATTTAACACTTAAACACATCATTTAATTTTTGCTTTTAAGAGAGAGCCTTACTCTGTTGCCCAAGCTGGAATGCATTGGTGCAATCCAGGCTCACTGCAACCTCCACCTTTGGGGTTCAAATGATTCTCATGCCTCAGCCTTCCAAGTACTTGTGATTACAGGCATCCACAATCACATCAGGCTAATTTTTATATATTTAATGGAGATGGGGTTTCACCACGTTGGCCGGGGTGGTCTTGAACTCCTGACCTCTAGTGATCCACTGCCTCAGCCTCCTAAAGTGCTGGGATTACAGTCATGAGTGACTGTGCCCAGCCCATATCATTTAAAATCTAAAGGCTATAGGTACTTCATCTAGAAAAGGAGTTTAGATTATATGACTTCCATATCTACCTAGTTCTAAAAACAGAAACAAAGTATATTCTTTTTTTATTTTGTCCTTTAGACTCTGGGGTACATGTGCAGATCACACAAGATTGTTGCATAGGTACATTCATGGCAAGGTGGTTTGTTTCCACCATCCCCTCATCACCTAAACCTGACATTTCTCCCCACATTATCCCTCCCCTACCCTCCCTCCTACTATCCCTCCCATAGCCACCCCCAACGGACCCAAGTCCGTTTTTTTGTGCTCCCTTTTTTGTGCCCAAGTGTTCTCATTGTTCAACACCTGCCTATGAGTGAAAATATGTAGTGTTTTATTTTCTGTTCTTGTGTCACTTTTCTCAGAATGATTGTTTCTAGGTTCATCCATGTCTCTACAAAGAAGATGTATTCATCATTTTTTAAGGCTGCATAGTATTCCATGGTATATATGTGCCACATTTTCTTTTTCCAGTCTACAATTGATGGGCATTTGGGTTGATTCCAGGTCTTTGCTATTGTAAACAGTGCCGCTATGAACATACATGTCAATGTGTCTTTATAATAGAATGATTTGTAATCCTTTGGGTATATACCAAGTAATGGGATTGCTGGGTCAAATGAAATATCTATTTCTAGGTCCTTGAGGAAGCACCACACTGTCTTCCACAATTTGGTTGAACTAATTTACATTCCCACCAACAGTGTAAAAGCATTCCTATTTCTCCGCATCCTCTCC